GGTCTCTGGATAGCTATCTAGGCACAGACCTGCAACCTCTGCCATAGGCTCATTTGGGTTGGGAGTGTTCTGTTCGAGCGCGCTCACTTTTCCACGTGGCCTTGAAGTAAGGGCAGTTGCAACCCCTACTGACAGCTGCCTTTTGACTGCCCAACGGGCCTGTCTATACTTTGGACAAAATTTAATTACGTGGGCTGGGTCACCACAAAACACGCACTGACCCAAGTTCACGCGTTCCTGCCATAACCCTTGGTCCAAGCCCAAATCTTCCCAGGGCCTGCCCTGTGGCAAGTCTGGGTGCCATCCTCCTTGAGGTGCCCTTCCACCTCTTCGCTGTGGGGACCGATTGGAACCTTGGCGATTTGGCTGGGGACCTTGACCCCTACCTCCCACTTGGCAGTTTCCTTGGCCGCCAACCCCCTGTGCGCCCGGTCCACAACCTCCCATGGCCTGGCCCCTTTGGCCTTGGCCTCCTCCTCTACCTTGCGGCCTCCCTCCAGCTGCGACAACAGCATAAGACCTCCCCTGTCCCGTACTACTGTCCTCCTCCTCTAGGCCCCACTCAATCTGACTGTATGGGACCTCATCAGTACCACCTTCCTCTAAAGTAAGGATCATGTGATCCTTGGCCCTTACTTGGCCTGAGATGGTACGACCTTTCCACTTCTTCCCCTTGTCCAAGTCCTTATGCCAGAAAGTGGTAACTGGCATRGACTTTGACTCATACAGGACGACTTCTCTACTCAATGCATCATATGTGATGCCGGCCTGTTGAGACTTGTCAAAGAAATATCCCCTCACGGGCTCTGGCCTGGCACGATAGAACAACTGGACCAATTGGGTCTCAGTGACCCCATGGTCCGGGACGGCTACCAAGTCGTCCATGGTCCCCTTGAGTGCCTGGCACTCCTCCACTGTCGTGAGTGGATTGTTTGCAGCTTGTCAGAGGCTCTAATGCCTCTCGTGGGGTCAGCAAATCGCTCCTTCAAGAGCTTGAGGAATTGAGAAAGACGGGTGACTTTTGAATGTGCAACCAGATTGTTTTCACAACCGGCTGCGCGCGCAAGAGACCTGGTGAAACTAGCCGCTTCATCCTTGAGGGCCTGAAAGGCCACGAGGACTTGTTCCTCAATCAGGATGTGTTGTAAATAAATATAACTATTGACACTGGCTTCCCAGTTGTCAAAGTTTTCTTCCTTCTTTCCCCCATATGCATCTGGGAACTTAAGTTTCACTGGGTCCTTACGGGGTCTGACCTCTCTTCCTACAGCGGCTATAGCTTTGGCACCCTCAATAGCGCCCTCACAAAACTTCCCTACATCGTCCCTCAATTGCTTTACTTCGCCCCCAACGTGGGTGACGATCTCGCGCGCAAACTCCCTGAACCCTGACGGCATGACTCTCAGCGCTACACCTTGGCTCCAACTAGCCTGACGCTCCTCCATCCAGGCCTTGCTCAACACTTCTAGGTAACCCAACACCTTGTCCCACTTGGCCTTGTCATCCGGTTGGGCCAACACCTTCTGTCTGCATGCCTGCACTTTTGCTACCTCTGCGGTCATTTTACTCACTTCCTCTCTCCTCCTCTTCTTCTCCCTCTTCATTCTCGGCTTCCATGCTAACTTCTGCTCCTCCTCCCTTTCTCGCCGTTCCATAGGGTCTGTCATTGCTGCTAGCTCACTGACTAGCGCAACCCTCTCATCCGCCTCCTCCTCTTCTCCCAACGATAAATTAACAACACACTCACTTATTTTTCTCTCCATCGCAGAGTCTGCGTCTGTGTCTCTCTTTGTGTCACTACTCCCCTCTCTACTCTCAATTCTCATCCTCTCTTTTTCTTCTTCTGCTACCGCTTCTTCTTCATCAGCCTTCTTCTTTTTCTCCATCTCCTCCTCCAATTCTTTCATCTTCGTCGCCTGTTCGTCTGCGATAGCCTTTAGCTTAGCTTGTTTCTCGCGCTCTTTTCTCTCCCTATTTTCCTTAACTAAGGCGGTCATCTTCTCTTGCTGCTCCTTGCTATAGGGGCTAGTGTCTAACCCACTACGGGTCTCAACCATGGTGACGGTGCACAATCAGGACGATTCCACTCCTCACCACGTAGACTCTGACCCCTCACTGAAAAACCTATAAACTCAATCTACGACTCACAAAATCCGGACAAGGACCCTGTCAACTATGGTCTCTAGCCTGGACCTAACTACTATGGTTGTCACTACTAAACCTTTGCTGATCAGGAGGCATTTAAGGAGATCCCCCGAACTCCGCAGGAATTATTTAACGTCGCAGACAGGACGACGCGATCAGCAGGTCTCTCAAGACTTAGACGGTCCGTTGTGCAGCCCACAGCTCGGATTTCGAGGCCTACCGTGCCACACCGAGCAGCCCGCCGGTCAGTACTGGTCCTTGGGAGGGTTTGACCTCCGGGACAGTTGAGTCATCAGACACAACTTTTAGCCCTACTCATCCCGTGTGGGTTTGGTCAACAAGACCCTATCCTTCATCCACGGAGTACTATCACCTAGGACAGAAGAGACTCRATGCAGAAATAATAGACAGACAGACTGTACTCAGCAAGTACCAAGGGGTATGTGCACATCCATA